ACTTGCGAAATTGGCGTTATACATTTTTTTATTGTTACAAAACACGTGCTTCTCTTCTATCCATACCCATTATTATAGAGATTGGTGGCGCACTTGCAACCTTTTGTCCTATTGTAGATCCTTAGAAGGTGGTATTGGAATAATACCACTTATCACAATCTCACAAAAAGGCTAATGGCACAATGTTTCCGAGTTAAATTATGGTTAAATTTGATTTTAAACCATAAGGTACGACGGGATACATTTTGTAGTGAGGAGTCGACAGTAGTTGATTTAATGAACGTGAAGGATATTTGTACATTTGGTTACCAATCGTCTGTGCGTCTGTTAGAGAAAATGCCTTTTCAAACAGTGATCATGTGACGTCATTTTGATCAAATTTATCAATAAATATTTTAAGACACATTTTCACACAACGTTATCTAGTCCCAAACTAAGCAACGCTTGTACTATGGGTATTCGACTGATAAATATACTTAAGCATAACTTTCTTTGTAAATAAATACATATTATACATATATAAACCAGGACACTAGAAAAACACAATGTTCATCACACAATATTCTTCCAGTTCGAACCCACCGATCCTCATCATCGAACCCACACCCTCTGGCGTAGAAGACAGGTACAATACCCACTACGGCATACGGGTCGTCAATTTCAATTCTCAAACATTTTGCTTGGTGGAGTGTCCATACTAGACAGACATATTCTTCTAAACAAACTTCTAAGAAAGAAATGGTTTTTGGTGTTTAGAAGAATATGTCTGAAATATACTGATGAACACCATCTGTACAAACTCTTGTACCATTAATGAAGAACGGGAAAGATACAGTTTGTGCAGGCAAATATTCGATTTTTGCTGCAGAATTGCTGACAGAGATCCGAATAACTGCAACTTAAAATTACGCAAGACTAAAATCCAGTTTATTTAGTCGACGTCTCTGCCGTTAGCTAGAGAGAAAAGCTCTCTATGACCCGAAAAATTATTTGCCAACATTTATTATTATAAAGGCTAGGATAGTAACATGACAGTAAAAGCTTAAATGTTTCACTTTAATATTTAGGGAGTGCACAAAGTAGGTACTTAGCGAAACGGTGCACGCTTCGTTCGGGCTTGAAGTAAATTATATTGGTCACCATTACCGAAGTGACGTTTTTTAGCAAAACATGATTTTGTGATAGATAAGTTAAATTTCGTACGATAAATAACAAAAAGAATAATTTTACACACTAAACTTAACAGTGTTACTGTAAGACAAGGGCTTATAAGATGACTTGGTTTATTTATTTTAACGTTAATGAATCTTAAAGCTAATTAGGTAAATAAGAGTAACACAAGATCAAATCAAAGAAATATACACATATATAAAATAGTTTCTACACAAATGCGAGAAGTCTATAGCGTACGCGGTCTAACCTCAACAACCCCATACCTCGGTGTAAGCAGCTACTAGGTTATGGCATTTGACACGCCACGCTGAACGGTTAGCTTTGTTGATCGTCATTAATTAATTGTATGTTTCCATTAATTGGCGACTTCCGTTAATATTACACCGTTCATTAATTCGTAAGTCAATGTATGTCGTTAAAGAAATCATTTCGATTATATCTTATAGCTATTACGTTTTATGCGACGTATTTATTTCGTAATCAGCATGTTTCATCTTTGACTTTCATAGTTTCATGACGACGCGGTGGCGCTGTAGCAACTAAATTCTCCGCCTGTCATGCATGATTCTTACGCGGGACAATTCGGTCGATCGGCCGTATAAAATATTAATAACAACCGACCCCATTAAGGTGGGATAACAAGTTTCACTTCTTTCATTATTGAAAGAAGTATATTTTATTTATGTTATAAATATTTATCTATCTAGCATACAACCTAGAACCTCCAGCGCACTTGGCCGGTTTTTTTTTGTAGGTAAATTCTTGACGCCATCTAGTGTACTTCGTTTACAGCATATAAACTTTCTTAAATGACAACATACAATTGATATTTGAAAATTGGAGAGATGTCGCTTTTGCTATTAAAATTTAATTTTATTTCAATCCCTTCAGTGCAGTAACAGTTAAGAAGAAACTTATTTAGGTACTTACTAACAATATGTCTACACATTTTACATTTTGAAAATACGCCATTGTTAGTTTTCGTCGTCCAATTCACAATAAGCTTTGCTTTGAAATCCATTTGTTACATTTTAGCTAAACACGGATGAAAATCAAAACCATTTGTTACTGAATGGTTGAGATGGATTACTGGAAATCGATACAAAAGAGCGTTAAATAAGACATAAAAAAATGGCTCCATCATTACACTAAATGATGGTTGTTGTCTAATTTGATGGATTAAAAAAAAACATCGTTCACAGTTTAATTAAAAAGTGGACTTAAGTAAACTGATTCTGAAAAGTCGTAAGCACCGACGATTTTTTTTGTAAAATACTTCGTACTTTTGGATTTAAAGGCTAATTTCAGCATTAAAACGTAGTCCAAAGAACACGAAATGTAATTTTGAAACATATAATTTTAATATTTACCATTTATTCTCCAACAAATTTTGGATCTTTGTTATCGTAATGACATTAATCATGTCAAATTAAATTTAATCCTTTTGGTTGTTGACTCTTGATTTACTTTGCAATTCAATTAAATTGTATAAGTCCGTTTTCGTCTTTCTTACAAATTATGACCTGGCATATCGTGATAAAGCTCAGTTTCAATTAAAAATGAAATCAGAATTATTTTAATTGTCCCAACTTTTTAAAAACTGTTGAAAGAGCAAATCTCGTGTTAATTAATTATAGACTTTATCACAACACATTAAGATTAAATTTAGTTTGAACATTATTAGTGCCGTTCTAAATCTGTTCGAAATTCGAGTGTGCGTTCATTTCGGCCTCATTGGCGGTTGAGTTGTCAAATTTAAACCGAGGCGGTTCTAATCAGTTGTAGCCGAGAGACTTGTTTTCGTCTCCCTCACTCCTGTTACTTACGATGCTTAAGTGAATTATTGCCATGACGTCACGTTACGAAAGTCACGTTAATAATTATGAAGTTAGTTTGTTTTTTTACTTTATTTAACCGTATTCGTCAAAAGGCGGCGTTAGCGTTATGGCTTCTTATTAAAAAATATGTGTACGTAAAAAATACGGTAACACGATCACCGCTTTCCAGAATTTACATAAAAATTTGTATTAAAAAACATTAGAAATCATAATAAAATATTTCCCGTATTACCCAGTGAAACTTTTGGCGCGAAATCCCAACCTTATTGTAAATACAATCTGTGCAGCTCACATTTATTAATTTTTATTTAACGTGTAATACTTGCATTTTACTACTAATAGCCTTGTTATGAGTAGATTAATTACTCCATTATATTTTACATTTTCCGCTTGGACCACGATAATTTAAAAATAAAATACTGACATAAGGCGAAAGATTTGGGTCGCCCATTTTATACTAGATGGCGCTATCTTCCAAAGACGCTCTTTAAAACTGGTTTCGTAAAAACGTCGTCTGTTCGTACCGTAAGACTGTGACTCATCGCTGATAGTGTGACAAATGTTAACTCTCTGGCAGACAATATAACCGCGGCTATACTTGCCTACCTTGATTCGAAATGAGATTTACGCTATATAATAATTCTATCCTTGTTAATGCAGATTATAAAATATCTCTTATATCGCAAATGTCATCGAATGTATTCAGATTTCGGAACGAAATAAAGCACAAACTATGGCTTTCATAATATTATTGCCCGTAATAATAACCCAACGAGCTGTAAATCTTAATAATTTTAAATCTGTTTTATAAGAATCTATTTGATAAATAACTCGCAATAAAAAATAATTTTTCATAACTACAAGAGTCCATTAAGTTGTCTAATATTTTATGTATAATGTTGGGTTGGGCGTGAAACTTTCGTGTATCGAAAACGTCTTTCGTAATTGACTGACATTTATAAATATTTGGTGTGTTTCTATCCAGTCGGTAGAACGGTGGGAGAGTTAGTTATTTAACCAGCTCGAGGCGTAATAAGAAAAAGACCTCCGTGTGTAGTTATAAAAGCCACGAGTTCCCAGGGATGTGGCTGCGGTTTGCCCAGGGTGTCGATTACGCATCATCATTGGGATTGAGTGAATGAAACTTGTGAATCAAGGGATATTCGCTCATTGTTAGCTTAATATAATTCTACAACAGATATGCGTATGAATTGAAAACGAAATGTACGACTAAATATTTAATGAATGACTGGAACTAAAGTCAAATGTTTTAGATAACTTATAGATAGTTTATTTTTGTTCTCCGGTTTCATTAATTTTAATCCAGTTTAATTATTCCTTTCCACCATGAATGCTTTTCTGAACTTATGTAGTAAGTTACTTGTAGTTTTAAATTTGATACGAGCATTGTTATTTTTTTTTTTTACTATCTTTATTGATCTAATATTTACAAGATTAAATCTATCTAAAATTACATATTATTTAATAAACCTAATCCACGCGGCATGGTGCCAAGAACGCTAGCTGCGTTTCCTCGCTGAATAGTTATGCTTAACCTTTGAGCGAGAAAAGAACCAGCATTGTTATTGATAACAATATAAACTTTGTATTTTTTTTTGTACCATAATAACAATAACTGTTAATTATTGGCTCTAACTAAGTACATTAATATATTTTACCCGTAGTATATAAAATTACATAATCTAAACTACACCGTCGAGACGTGGACATTTTTGCAGTGTCACAAAAATTTCAAACCGTAAATCAGTTCTGTTTACATTAGATCGTGTGATGTACTTCGTCAAACGCCGTCGTTTTACGACGAACGGTGGACGATCGGAACGAAGAGAAAATCGGCCGTACGCCAACGGGGCGAGTGCCCCGTCGGATCACGCGCGTCGAAAGCGAAACTGCGGCGCGGCGGCAAAAAAGGCGTGACGAGCCGCGGGTAGCCGGTTCGGGCCTCGGTGAATGGGCCACATATCTTCACGGACGAGCGTCGCGGGTCGGGCAGGGTGAGGCGGCGCTCTCCGCGCTTCCGACCAACTTCGAAAAGGTGGTGTGAGTCTCGGCGCTTTTGACCGACTTCGAAAAGGAGGTGTGAGTCGCGGCGCTTCCGACCAACTTCGAAAAGGAGGTGTGAGTCTTGGCGCTTTCGAGCGACTTCGAAAAGGAGGTGTGAGTTTCGGCGCTTCCGACCAACTTCGAAAAGGAGGTGTGAGTCTTGGCGCTTTCGAGCGACTTCGAAAAGGAGGTGTGAGTTTCGGCGCTTCCGACCAACTTCGAAAAGGAGGTGTGAGTCTTGGCGCTTTCGAGCGACTTCGAAAAGGAGGTGTGAGTTTCGGCGCTTCCGACCAACTTCGAAAAGGAGGTGTGAGTCTTGGCGCTTTCGAGCGACTTCGAAAAGGAGGTGTGAGTTTCGGCGCTTCCGACCAACTTCGAAAAGGAGGTGTGAGTCTCGGCGCTTTCGAGCGACTTCGAAAAGGAGGTGTGAGTTTCGGCGCTTCCGACCAACTTCGAAAAGGAGGTGTGAGTCTTGGCGCTTTCGAGCGACTTCGAAAAGGAGGTGTGAGTTTCGGCGCTTCCGACCAACTTCGAAAAGGAGGTGTGAGTCTTGGCGCTTTCGAGCGACTTCGAAAAGGAGGTGTGAGTTTCGGCGCTTCCGACCAACTTCGAAAAGGAGGTGTGAGTCTTGGCGCTTTCGAGCGACTTCGAAAAGGAGGTGTGAGTTTCGGCGCTTCCGACCAACTTCGAAAAGGAGGTGTGAGTCTTGGCGCTTTCGAGCGACTTCGAAAAGGAGGTGTGAGTTTCGGCGCTTCCGACCAACTTCGAAAAGGAGGTGTGAGTCTTGGCGCTTTCGAGCGACTTCGAAAAGGAGGTGTGAGCGGAGGCGTGAGTCTTGGCGCTTTCGAGCGACTTCGAAAAGGAGGTGTGAGTTTCGGCGCTTCCGACCAACTTCGAAAAGGAGGTGTGAGTCTTGGCGCTTTCGAGCGACTTCGAAAAGGAGGTGTGAGTTTCGGCGCTTCCGACCAACTTCGAAAAGGAGGTGTGAGTCTTGGCGCTTTCGAGCGACTTCGAAAAGGAGGTGTGAGTTTCGGCGCTTCCGACCAACTTCGAAAAGGAGGTGTGAGTCTTGGCGCTTTCGAGCGACTTCGAAAAGGAGGTGTGAGTTTCGGCGCTTTCGACCAACTTCGAAAAGGAGGTGGGAGTCTGGCGCTTTCGAGCGACTTCGAAAAGGAGGTGGTGTGAGTTTCGGCGCTTCCGACCAACTTCGAAAAGGAGGTGTGAGTCTTGGCGCTTTCGACCAACTTCGAAAAGGAGGTGTGAGTCTTGGCGCTTTCGACCAACTTCGAAAAGGAGGTGTGAGTCTTGGCGCTTTCGAGCGACTTCGAAAAGGAGGTGTGAGTTTCGGCGCTTCCGACCAACTTCGAAAAGGAGGTGTGAGTCTCGGCGCTTTCGAGCGACTTCGAAAAGGAGGTCCTCAGTTCGGGTGTAAGTTTTTTTGAATGACGAACTCCATCAATTATGTCCGGTTTTAATTATCATTTTTTTTTTAAATAAAATATGTAGAGAAAAGTACGAAAAGGCCAGCCGCTGTGGGAATCGAACCCACGTCTTCGGGATTTGAGTCATTGCTTCAGTCAATGCTAAAAACAGAATTTAGATAAAAGACGTTAAGATTTTCGTCGGTGTGGCAATCAGCCGTTTAGCTTAGTGGCTAAAGCGTCTTGACGTGGATTACGGGAAAGACTTCGTACTTTTTTCTACAAATTTTAATGTTTAATCTTAAGTGCAGAAATTGGCACTATAAAATTTTTAACTATTTTTTGTATTGGATGTAGCTCCCGTGTGGCATATTTCAAGGACTAATGTCCTTGCACTCTGGAGATACATCAAGGAGAAGAAACCAAAAAGAAAATGTATAGCGAATGGGATTTTGGAAGGTGGTTTTGTTTTTTCAGAAGCGATGTTGCCTCTGCCTTATAATCAACCATTGATCCTTAGAATCGGAATCACAATTAATTATGCCCTGATACAAAAGTTTTAGCCAACAACGTCCATTGTTTGTTATAATACTTTTGAAGTTTTGTTTTTGTTTAGTCGATAATTTCACTTTATTAAAATATTATTGTCATTATAATTGTAGAAGGAACTTTAAGGAACTGTGGACTGATCTATTTATTTTATTTTATTGTCGTTTCTTGATATTTATTATATTTTATATTGCTTTGTTTGTTAGTTGTTACTTTATTTGCACTAGACGGTGTTGTTTCGATTCCGATATCTAAAAAGGAATTGTGTAATAAACCTACATAGGTTTATTACATAATTCGTAAAACTTTTTTAGTGTATGATTTTATTTTTTCTATAATACTTAGAACCCCTAGCACAGCAATTGCTTACTTTGCGACTACATAAGGTTGTGTAAAAATATGTATTGAAATATACTTATTGCCAATGAGGAATTGCTTTTTTTTTCGTTTGGTTTCTTTACACACAGAGCCCGAAAGGCTACAACAGTTTTGTTTAATTCGCTACATGATCGGTAAATGGCTAAATTTAATCTCATATATTAATTTAATTGTAACACCCTAAAACTTATATTTCTATGTCAACATTACAGTCATCTTTCTTCAGCAGAGTCGGAAACCGAATTTTACTTTGTTAAAATTTCATAAATTTACGAAAACGGTTGAATTGATTAATCCGTATAAATAAAGGAGTTTAAATGGGTAAGAATAGTTTCTTTGTGTGCAGTATCTTAATATCGACGGGTCGAGAATCGAACTTGTAGCTCGTGGGGTGCTTGGGTCACGTCTTATTGACGAAAGTAAAGCCGGTCGCGACATTGAGTAATACCGTCTGTTGCCGGTTAGCAGCCAAATCATCGAGACGATGTTGAAAGGGCGGTGGTGGCTTTGTGGTTGGTAACTTGATCGAAAATCGTTCGTTCAAATCTCAATCACAAAAGTGTCATGTAAGCTCGTTAATCACTTACTCGCGAATATATTTTTTTAATTCACTAAAAAAAACATTATCCGTACCTGTATGATATCGATAATCCGTCTAACATTACCTGGTCTAAGACCCAGATCCGAAAAAAATATCTATGAGTCACAAAAATAGTTGCGTCGTGTGCAGAGCCCACGACCTCGGCCTTTTATTTTATTTACTATTTATTAATTCTTTATTCCATCCAGGATAGAAAAAACTAACCAGTAGCGAGGTAGAATAATTATAACCATGGCAAGCGAGGATATATTTTACCTGTTTAGGATTAATGACGCGGTAGTTTGCCCCATTTTTTTGGTTCATGTAAACGATGAAAGCCGACGGTAACGAGTGTGCCAGTGATGAAATTAATATCGGTCTTATCCACTCAGCCCATTCAAGACGAGCGGTCGAGTAGCCGGTCGAGTGAATGGAGTGTTTTTTGCGCGAGCGTACTCGCCCAAATCGCTGTGAAATTAGTTGGGAGCCCGGCCGGCTTCGTGGCGGTTAGGGCGCGGCTGCAGTGAACGCGGTTGTACGAAATTGTCTAAGCATTAATACATAAAATACAAATGACGTGTGTTTGTATGTTTACTTGTCTGCTTGCACTCAAACTTGAGAGCTGATTAAATTCACGTGATTTTTTGACACACCTTTATGGGCGTCGTAAGTAACATTTTAATTTTTATGTAAAACATTTCTTAATGTAGGTATGCACGCTTCCATAAAATTTTATTGTTTCTAGTCAAACTTATTCTATTTAAAGCTCAATTTACAATTCATTACAATTTTACGTTATTGACCATAAACTAACTCGTCAAATTTGAGGACAGAAAAGGATCTAAAATAAGGGGCCAGCGTGTAATTTTTTTTTTATGTGAACAGTTGCCAAGCGAGCAGACGGTTCGCCTGATGTTAAGTGAATACCGCCACCCATAGACATCTGCTAAACCCAAGGATTGCAGATGCATTGACAACCTTTAGAAAATTGGGCTCCGGCCACCTCACTCACCGGACGAAACACGAAAATATTATATTTATATACTTCCACTTTACGCCGGTCTTCTGCGAGGTCATGGTACTTACTCGGACGAGCCTGCCCATTCGTGCAACAGCCGAGGCTGCTGCGTGGCCCTACCACCGTTAATATCATTTTCGAATTTAATTATTTATTGTTTTACGAGTATGAACCTATTCAAGTTTATATCAGTGAATAGAAAACAAACTCAAGTTTACTTTCGCATTTATCCTATCAGTGTACATTATCCTAGATACATTATTACACGTAGAACAGATTGAGCAACTGTGTATGACGATCCAATTGCCGTAGTGGACTGTCTTTTTCGCCAAAAAAATTTCGTTAAAGGTTAAGAAATCCATAATTAAATAAATATATTTTTCAAACTAATTAAATAAAAAAGAAACAAAATTTGTAACATCCTATACAACTACAACTGACTGATTCATACATTCAGAGACTTTTTCATTCGTTACCACAACGTCGCATTACAAGTCACTCCTAACAATATGTTTTACCTCTTTTAGAATTCATTCAACCCATTCATATGCTTTGTGACCTTTACAAATAAACTTTACGTTACAGTTTTATACGTAAGGATGTTCTAAAAATATTTATGTTGTAAAATTTAATAACTCTGTAAATATTGATGTTTAAAGAATGTAAATGCTTAATATAACTTCAAAAAGTTATCCTCTATATATGTGTTCATTAATTGTCGCGGTTGTGACACGCTGTATATCTATCCTATGTAATCAATTACAAAAGAAAAGTATTTTTAACTAATTTTATCAGTTTCCAGCGCAGTATATTATACCAATTCTACTTTATCTGCGAACGTTACAAAGCTTGAACTTTAATTGGTGATAGTGCTACCGCACCGCCTAAACTCGCGCCCCACCCCAAGCGACACTGAGCGCGGTGACAGACAACACAGACGGTCAAGAGTGCGAGCGTGGTTTTCTCACCGTTCCAACGCCATCGGCTGAACCACCGCATCGCGCCGGTTAATTTTATGTAAGATAGTTACATAATTGTTTTTACACGGTGCACGTGATCGAAAGTTCCGGAGAACTCGCCCCCCTCTCCCTCCTAAGTCTGGTGGTCGCTTGTTTCTATTTAGAAAATATCGTGATACTTATCTGACAGCGGGTGTTGCAGAAGTTCTGTTGACGAGTACACCAATATTGTTTTTGTAAAACAAATTGATATCATTGGATTTGATTTATATTGTTATTGTTTGTTCACTTGTTTGAATTTGTCTTTGTGTTGTTCACATTTTAGAATTATTGATGTTTTTCTGTTCACGTATTCGAATTTGATGTTATTTTGTATTAATCGTTAGTATTTCTGCAAATGGACTTATTAATTATAATAAATTTTTCTATTCCCTTCCGAATCGTTTACGCAACGCCAACACGTTTAAGCATAGACGTTTTGAGAATCTGTACAAGGGATAAACAGAGTAACCGCTTGTATAATAATATTTGACCTGCTGACCCAGAAGTAAATTTTTAACCGCAAAGCGATATTGTAAAAAAGTGCTGACTCACCATCGCTGCTCTGGTTGCTGCTGTGGGCGTGGTACTGCTCATCTGTGAATTCGTACTCTACGTGAGATTAGACACATCTGCTCTCGACACTTTAAAACTCAAAACTGTAGTGTAATTAGTTTTGTACATTCCTACGTATAGTACCAAGACTGCTAAATACATTCGCTCTCGGCACATTGAAAGTGGAATGAGATCACCCTCTGTTGTTTATAAGAGTCCACAATGGACAAATTTACTAATAACTGTAATAACTGTACTAATAATGCTACTATTCAAAGTGATCCGTACTGTTTCGGAGCTGTTCTTGCCAACGAAAGAGAAGTAGTATATAGTCTTGTCTTCAATGCTGGGATTAGCTTTAACTCAGCTGGTGTTTCGAATTGAAAGCTCCTCAGTTGTAGATGGTATAAACACCAAGTTATCTCAAAGTATTTTTTTTGTGAATTGGTTGTACACCTGATGTTAAGTGCGTCAACCATAGACATCTAAAAACAATTGTGTGGTGGCAAGGTTTATTCTATCGCCTCTCTGTAATAAACACCCAAATCTGAAACAATATTATCTGTGTTCACACAAATACTTGTCCCATATAGTAATCAAACACACGATCTCCGGCGTCGAACTCAACAGCTTAGTAATTAATGCCAAAAATATTTTGAATAATTTAATATAATAATGATACATCATGAACTTTTGTTCTTTTAGCGACTCTTGCACTAGAGAATAATTATCCCTGTTTAACGGAAAATAGACAGGTCCATAAAATCATGGCTGTCACACAAAATCACACAACTATTACTGTACTAGTGATCAATTCAGTTACATGACGTCGGTTTTTTGTCAGGTTGTGATTATTTTTTTTATTGGTTGCCAACAAAGCTGTTACTCATAATTTTATGGATCGAACTGGCTGTTCGTACACAGCAGAAGCCATTGCATACATCTACCACATGGTATTACTATATTGAGTGTCCCTGTACTGCATCGGTATGAGAATACCGCTGACGTCACCTGACTCAGCATAGTGGTCACATACCACATAGTATTAATATATTGGACACTCAACACTGTACTGAATCGATATGAGAATACCGCTGACGTCACCTGACTCAGCAAAGTGGTCTCATACCACATAGTATTACTTCAATGGGACACTCAATACTGTACTGTATCGGTATGCGAATACCGCTGTGACCCGAGTCAGCAAAGCGGTGACATACCTCCAGTGCGGTGGTCGCCCATCATCTCCTGGGTCTGCAGCGGCGGCGCGTGGATCAGCACCTTCTGCTGGGGACTGTGCGCGTCCAGACCCTCGACCTCCAGCAGGGGTGCGTGCGGCTCGTAGCCGTGCACGACCAGGGGTGGCGCGTGGAGGTCCATCGCGTACACCCCTACCGCATCACCCTTGAACGAATCAATTGTCACTTCTTCCCCTCGCACCGGTTTGGAAAACTAGTTTGTTCTACTGGCACTGGTCGCGTTGTACACTAGGCTTGGCTTTTACTGGCACTGGTAGTCGTTTGCACTAGGGTTGGCACTAAGTATTCTGTTAGGGGCTCACGCGCGAGTATTTGTGTTGTGGTTTTGTTCGTTACACTGAGTCCATATGCACTTGGTTGTCACTGTTACATCGTTGTGTGGAGGTCTCCGGTTGCCCGTCACCGGAATTTCTTCCTCATCCTCAGGCGGAGCTTCACCATTTTGTTACCTGGAAACAAAGAGGCGTCTTTAGTGTGAGAATTTTTTTTAATATAAGACATATAGGACATTTAATCGGATACTTCATCTGCACACATATTACATTTAGTTACAATGTTTATAATTACAAAAGAACAAGAAGACAATAAAAAAACTAAAAAAAATGAAATAAAAAAAATAACCTATCAGTAATTACAAGAAAAAAATAAGTGAAAGTAAAACAAAGAATAAAAGTAAAAGGAATTTATAAATGAGGATGTAGAGACGATAGTAAGGACCGTCTTAGCATTTATGAAATACGGCATTTGCGAATTATGGCGCAATACGGCGTCGGCCCAAGCGTCCGTAGGCAACGTAATGCTTAAAATCATGATTAAATAAAAAAAATATTATTACTTTCTCAGAATATATTTAAAAAAAAATGTTACTAAATATTTAAATGTAAAATAACATGTATAATCTTATCTCGCTACCTTATGTGTATACGGTGTTGAATGTACATATACTTATCTGTTTAATGTGTAATATGTTAATGTTTATATAAATTTTTGTACATTTGTTTGTGGCATAGTTAATAAAATTAAAAAAAATGACCGAAAAAAAAATGACCGATACGATGAGTATGTCAGTATAATAAAAGAAACAAAACGTCGTCCGCCCGAACAGGGACTTGAACCCTGGACCCTTGGATTAAAAGTCCAATGCTCTACCGACTGAGCTATCCGGGCTGCATTAACCGAGACGAAATTATGATTATAATAAATTATATCAAATTCTGTTACAATGAATATGATAAGTTATGAGACACTGAATGTAATGAATTATTTTCAATTAGTTATTTGAAAGTATGAAATACCAGTTGCAAATTTATACGCTTATAACCTTTGGTGATATTACATTTTTGACAAACTCATTTTCTGTTCCTTTAACCTGTTTCAATTTGCTGATTGAATGCTTATTAAAATGTCAAATAGTTGTTCTCGACCGATTTTTGTTAATGTAAGTATTTGTTATTAATTATTCACGTATTATGAATTACATAAAAAATCTATATAATCCATGAAAACTCAGATTTTTTACGTTTTCATACGAGAGCGAAGCGTGAATAAAACATGCGCTTCCGTTTTGCGAATAAAGTCCGCTTCAGCGTGTTTATTTAAACAAAATCCGGCGCGACTCCGTGCCCTCCACGCCATTGTTCTCGCCGCGTGTCAACGAACCGAAAAGCCGACAGGAATGGAGTCGACGTTCGCACTAAAAATATTGGGCACATTCCGTACAGTTATGATCATTGCACAGGGACATGTGTGGTACTTTCCCTTCAATCTAAAACTTTTGCTACATTAAAGATAATTTGTGAGATTTGCTTTTGAAGTTATTTAATACATCTTTTTAATTTTTTTCTAATGCCATCGGCCTAATGAGATACAATAAAATATAATAAACGCGCTATCATCCCCGCTTCTATTTATATATCCAGTATGACAACGTCTTTTTGAGTGCGTTATTATTTAAGGATATACGAAACTTAGCAAGGGTCCGTGTTATTTCAGAGGTTAATAAGAATTCTTTCCCACTTCGTAAATTTCAACCAACGTTCTTTATAATTTTGTTTAATAATATAACAACTGTTCATGACTATAGATCCATAATTACACACGTCATAATTAAGAGAAACAGTAAAAGGAAAGAGAAGAGCTAAGCTTGTTCGCTATATGATATACCGCCTCCAATATTTCAAAGTGCCAAATCCATTGCCAGGAGCACGCCTTCGATGGCTCCCACAGGACGCCCTTTGTTCACATTATGTTGCATTTTGTGTGATATTAACGTCAATGCGCTGCCGTTTTCAATCTTCTGTATACAGCTCGAATAAGTGTAATTTACAAATGGTTAAAATATGAAACTAAATTATGCAGATTTCACCGCGGGACAGTCTGTGCAGTGACCATGAACGCTGGAAAGGGTTTGAAACGTCGCGAATTTAAAATCAAATTGAAACGCAGTGAAATTTGTAAAATAGTTTCATTTAACCATCTACATTATTCGCGTAAAAGCAAAAATCAATATGTAACCATTACTTCCGAGAAAACGAGTATTGCGAGCCAAGAAGACTGAAAACCGCGACTCTAATTCGTACGTCAAACCCACCTGCAATCAGATCGCTTATGCGTCTTAATAATAATTCAATAGAATTTATTAATTTTGCCAATAATATCATGAATTATTTGTTTCAGTCCAACCTATTTTGGTACTAATTTTAAATCTCTTACTATGGCAAAGCCGTGATAGCCGAGTGTCCGGGCGCTCGCCTTTAATTCAATATACTCGAGCAACCTGAGTTCGATCCCCGGTGCCGGCACCAATGAAGTTTTTAACTTTAAGTGCTGACTTATCACGTGCTTCGCGGTGAAGGAAAACATCGTGATAATAACAAAAAAATATATATTTCGAAGATATGTGAAGTCCGCCAATCCGCAGTGGGCCGCGTGGTGGACTATGCCCTGATACCCTCTGTATAGAGGAGGCCTTTGCCCAGCAGTGGGACATATATAGGCTGTTACTTTACTATGGCAGGGCCACGTGGTAGTTTTGGCTCGTTCAGGGACAAACCACTTCTCTCAGAAAATCAATTTGAGGTGGAAGTATTGTCTGGTACGTTTTAAATAACTTTACACGTAACATCTTCATCCTGTTACCCCACCTCACATAAAAATACTATCATATGTGACTAGTAAAATGTATTGCAATGGCATTAAATTTTACAGAAAATAGGAATAATCATTGCACGATTTCTGTAAATTATTTTATAGGTGCGCCGCTCTGACATACTCAACCCTCATTAGCAGTCTCATCAAATTTTATTCGATATCCCGGGATAAGTCCGCCCCGCGCGATCTCATGTACGTTGCGCGCCATTGTGCCGTCAAAGCGTTCCCATAGCCTTGTAGCCGCGGACGGGGTTATGCCGGTATGCGCCGCCTGAGCCACCGAGTTCATGAGGGCCAGCGTACATATTCGATAGAAACATATTACTTTGTTAACGCAGGATCTGTATCATTCGTTGAGATGGATTCTTTTTTCTTTTTTTAATTTTTAAAAAAACATTGCCCTTACTTTAGGATAACAATATCCCGATAAGGACGATTTCAAAACATAAATTTCACGCGGAAAAACACCCAGACGCGAAACAACTATCTGTGAGTCGCACAAATAGTCCGGTGTTCGGATAGAACCCACGACGCCCGATGTCGAAGCCAATAGCTTGGCAAATGCGCCACGGAATCGTCTTATTACAATTTACAATTGCTAAATGATAGATATTTTGGTACCTTCACCTTTTACCCGGGTCCAATCCAAGTTAGATATCCAAGCAGGGTAGTGTTTATACGGATGTAAACGTTGATGCATGTGGAAGCAGTCGTGTAGGTTTTTGTATAACTAGACATGTTAAGGTGGTATTCGCATAGCTGTGATTGTTTAGAGAATTCAAATGTCTTTATTCATTATAGAAGCATTACACTTACTTATTTTGATTGTCAAAATACTACCCGTTCGAAAAAAAGCCAATGACCTGAGAAGAACCGGCGAAAGAAACTCAGCAAGACAGTTTTTGTTTTTACTATTGTTTGATATGTTGAGAGAAGAACCTGAAGCGATCAATTAATTTCCACAGTATGTTATCATTTAAATAATCACTAATATTGTAATTAAAAGTGTGTTAAAGACACAAACGTTCCTTAACAAGTTTTTGATTTTAGTAACTCATAGGTACATTTTAAATGTTTTCTGGGATTTATTGGTCAAAACGTTTAAATTGCCCCAAAAAGGCTTACTTATTCTACGAAGTCTAGTTGCGAAATAAATAGTTGTGAAAAAAAAGTTCCAAAATTTACCAAATAAAATTTTGAAAACAAGTGAAATCTTTTTTTTTTTAATTTTAATGAAAAACATTATCTCAACTCAAAACAAATATTTCCTAAATTCCTAATTTTTATAAATTCCCGAATCTGAATCTGAAATCAAAAATCCTCAGACATGTCGCGGGGCTCAACCCCGTTTGAGTTAAAGTTCCCACGTGTCGTTCGCGTATCCGCTGATGGGTATCTCTTAGGTACTTGACAACATATTGCTTACCATAAACCTGTGAATAATAATGTTGACTTTTATTGGGTATAAAATCCTTGATACTTCTTCATTCAAAAATGGCAATTGGATAATATTAATTAATATTTAGGTTCTGGTTTTCAGCGTGTTACCCTACATGCTACAGACAGCAACTTAATACAGGTAACGAACTCTCTCCACTTTCATAATAAACGTAATAAATGTTGAACATGCGAGACCACATCATACACACGTAAGAAATCCGAAGAACGAAGTATCATGAATGCATTCGCTAGAAATCGAATAAGTGAAGATGTCAAATTTTTATGAAATATACTCTCGATTTCTGTTGTTTCTTTTGTGGATGAAATGCTACACCTGATGGTAAATGATCAGCGTGGACGGTAAAAGAGAAATACGTGAATGGTAAAGGAGTTGCTGGCCTGTAAAGTACGCACAGTTTTTTCTCCTGCTAATTATAACGATATTGTCTTTGGCATCTCAAGTCGTCAGTTACATATCGTAACCAGTTTAATATCGTAGAACAAAATAAATGTTAAATAAAATATAATTCT